CCCCGTTCATTTCACCGATTCGAGTATTGTTACAGTAAAAAGCTCTAAGAAATAGTCACATATAACTTTTTTACTACAATAAAAAGCTTTTACATAAAGTTACATCTCAACTCAAATTAAAAACTCGAATCAGCAAACGAAACGAGCCCTAAACATTACTAAATTATACATAGTTTGCGTAAGCGCAACTCTTTTTGAGATGTGTAATTTGAAACTATATTGAATTATCCTCGACTTAGATAACGTACTTTCACTAGTAACCATAATAGTGGCTATGATCAAAACATCCCCCTAATTGACAAAAATGTGCCACTTGGCTAAATTGAGCTAATGACTTTAGTTAATTGTGCACTACATTAACATTAATAGATAATAGTCATGACTTCAATTATCTTGTGTGCACGTGAAATGGGGTAGTGTATATGCATATGCATATTCATGATCCCTCTTGAAGCCATTAACGCCAAGGTCAAATGAAAAACGTGATGACGATCAATCTGTAAATTGACAGCACTTGCCAATTGTGGTAGTTTGTTTATTATTTTTTCAAAGTCATCAAAGTTCTTGAGGTTGCCATGAGTGTCATTCGTAGAGCAGTGGTGTAATTTTCTCGATCACATGCCCTCAAAAGAGTGTTTTTCCAACCGCCCTCCATTCTTTTCATTTGTTTTTTTTTCATTTTTTATGGTTCCTCTCCATTGACTGAGATGTGATAAGAAGTAAAAAAAAAAAAAAAAAAAAATCTACAATTATCAAACCTTACCATTAAAAACTATAAGTAAAAGGAGAATTTTGTGGTAAGATGTCACGAAAAAAGGGACACGTTTATATAAACTCATTTCTTCATATTTTATTTTTTAAGGAGAGTTTTGGTGTGACGAATGATGAAAATGTCACATATTTCTAAACATTCATCTTCTTAAGGTTTCGTTAAACTATTTTTCTTTATTTTTTTATGTTAATATGATTTTAATTTGATACGATGATTTGGGAGTGTGTCTCATTGTTGAAGTACTTTTTCTCACTCTATCATATACACTCAAATCATAATCAACGGAAACTCCATGCACACGTTTGATTTTTTGTGTACATTTTTTGGTGTTTTTATTTGTAGAATTATAACACTATTTTTCTTGAGCATTTGATGAACCGGTTGCCTGTTAGTGCTGTGTTTTTTTAGTTGGAGATCGTGTGGATAAGTACTCGTATTGTCTTTTCATGTTTTAAAAAATATATATTTTTAAAAAAAATGCATGCAGTGATAGTGAAATTATCTATTCCACACTGTCAAAATTTATATTTTCACCCAAGTGCCCAAGATTTAACGTTTATGAATTTAAAATTATGATTTAAAATTATTTTTGATTTACGTGTATTTTTTATGAGAAAAAAATATTATAACGAACTACGAATCATGATTTAAATTATGACACGAATATACCAACTAAACGCACATTAACTTGTTAGCTCGCTCTCTTGTCTTATTGCGCTTTAGCAGCTTAGACTTCGGGCCTATCATTTACTAACACTGAGCACCACAATTAATAAAAAGTATATCACATCTATAAGATTATACTACGGGACTCGCACTATTATTTTGTGGTGTTTAACACATCTATGTTCAATGACTTTTTTTTAGTGGCCTATGGTGTGATAAAATAATATCAGTATTTTAAATTTAAATTCTTGATGCTCTAGTTTATTCTAATAAGTTGGGAATTTTTTTTTAATAAAAAAATGTTTTTTTAATAAAAAAATATTTTTAATTATTATCCTAGTATTGAATTAGAGATTTTTTTTAATGCTAAAATCAGTACCGTCTAACAATAGAGAAATAATATATTTCGATTCTCTAAGTGCTAGTAATGCTATGCTAATGCAAATAGGCAATACGTCAAGATCAGCAGCCAACAAAATAGGGGTCAATAAATGGTGACAGAATCATGGTCATTGACTCTCTCATTAATTAGCTGTTAAGTTAAGGTTAGCAACCTTTTGAGAAAAGAAGAAGAAGAAGAAGAAGACCAATTCGTTGCAAAACAGGGGAAAAAAAAAAAAGGATTATAGCATTTTGTTGTCTCATATTTTAAGGAATCATCACATTAGTATTTTTATACCATATTATTTTTAAAAATATTTTTTATCCTCCAAGCGAGTTTTCTAGATCTAAACGTCCATTTTACCCTTTAATTAATTATTCTCAAATTAATTACATAAAAACATTAAAGAAAAAAAATATTGAAGAAAGTTCTCCAAAAAAAACTTTAAAAACTCAGAAAGGCGCACTTAGGTGATGTAGTTATTTCTCTAATTTTTTAATTTAATTTTGAAGGCGGAGAATTTGAATTCTACAGCTCAAGATGTGGCTAAGTGTTGAGAATTTGAACATACACGATGTAGTTATTTTTATCTTTTTTAAACACTTTGATTAATTAATTAATAGCGTAAAAAATTGATATTTTGCAGCCTAAAAAAGGGATAATAGTACAAAAATGATATTTAAAAGAAAGAAAGTTTTTTAATATTCTCTAAACTGTAAGGTACCAATGTGATGCTCCGTGAAAATATAAAGTATCAAAATAATAAAACTAAAAAGAAGCACCAAATACCCTTGTAGGGATTCATTGTTACGAACTTATTAAATTAAAAAAAAAAAAAAGCAAAAATCTGCTTTCATGTACCGTGATTTGTTATCAGCATATCTTGGTTCTTGACTGTCCCTTATATGATAAAATTTAGCGTTGAATAATTCAGATTATAACTTTTCGCACAAAATGTTTGATGCTGATTTTTCTCCATCGAATAAGAAAGTAGCCCAATAAAAAATAAAAATGTTACTATAATCCATTACGTGTATTCCAATATTATAAGTTAACCTAGTAGGAAAGCACGTCATCAAGATAATTACATTTATTAATTTTTGGTTTGGTTTGTTTTTGTTTTAATTTTTCTTTTCCCTATAGTTTAGTACTTAATTTGGGCCGCTTGAATATTGAATCTTGTTCATAATACTCTTGACTTTTTCCTTCCTCTTTCTTTCCCTGATAAGACATTTTATTTACTTATTTATTATTATATTATTATTATTTTTTGGCTAAAGGAGAAACCTACAGCTTGATTTGATAAAAGGTGACTTTGCCATAATTGGTCCACCTTTTTCGTTTTTTCTGCAAATATTTCTACTTATTTTCCCCTAAAAAAAGATTTTTACTATTCTTATCCCCTAAATAGAAAGGTAATGAATTTTATATTTGATTAGCAAAAGAAAAAAAAAGGAAAAAAACAAAAAAAAATCATATCTAATTAGTAGTTACCAAATTTTTGTTAATTTCCATTTTCACAAAAAAAAAAAAAAGACTTTACTCTTTTTTACTTTTATGCATTCTTTCTGACATGTTCGAAGATCTTTGAATAATCTCGTATAAACAATATTTTGTTAGAAAGTATCCACCCAGTTAAACACAAATCTTAGGACGGTGTGTATGATTGACAGTTTCACACCACTTTTTTGCCCAAAAATATAAAAAAAAGGAAAAAAGTATAAAGAAAATATAAATTAATCAGAAAATACCTCCCCCAACCCCAAGCACACGCGGGAAAAATGTCAGAGATCCGCCAGATAACGGAATCCTCGTCATACTAAAATTAAAATAAGGGTAATTGACACATATGTCCTTACGTTATTTAATATGTGACAATTTAATCCTTATTTTTTTAATTTTGATAAAATAATCCTCAACCTCTTAAAATGTTAGCAATTTAAACTTTCTGTTAAATTCTGTTAAGTTTTTAACAGAACCCATCACAAGTTCTTCTATGAAAGGGTATTTTAATAAAATACTAATAATTTATCATCTAAAATAATAAAAAAAAAAAACTAGTTAAAAAAAAAAAAAAACAAAGAACAAACAAGGAGGATCTAATAATAGAACTAATAATAAAAACCTCCAAACCTAGATCAATGAAACAAACATACCTGTTAAACTCAAAAATATTCGGTGGCTCTCGATCAACTATTTTTGTTCTTCTGCAAAGGTATACGAAAAGATGTGAAACTGAATTTAAAAGAGCTGGTACATTCAGACAATTTCTCCTCCTTGTTAGATTCCTGCCTTTATTGTAGGTTTCCAAATTTTCATATCATCAAAACACCCACGAACAAAACTTTAGTTATATTTTAATCCAAACCTTCGGATCAAACAAGAAAGAAGAACTCCTAATTCTCTCTCAGAGCAAAAATTAAATTTTTTTTTAAAAAGAACCCATTTTTCTCTCTTTTAACCCCTGGGTTATCTCTTATAACATTTTAGAACTTCGAGTCATCCATCTTCTTACCTCAGATCTACGAAGATCTGAGTTTGCAACAGCGAGCGACTATTCTTGGCTTCGCCAGAGAACGTGATCCGGCAACCTGGAGTTTTTTTTTTTTTTCTTTTTCTGGTGAGGTACAAGGACACTTTTGTCTTTTCATTGAGAAAGAAATGCGCGTGATGATCACATGCAAAATTCTGTGAGAATTTTGACAGATTATAACGGAAAAGTTTAAAGTCTGTTTAGTTCACTGATTTAAATTTTTTATTTAATTTGAGATATGATTTTATATGAGAATTTTTACTGTAATAAAAAGTTAAATATATTTATTTTTAAGAGTTTTTTATGATAATAAAATTTAAATTTAAATTTAAATATAAAACTTTAAATTACTAATATTTTAAGAGTTTAAAACTCTTTTATTAAAATTAAAAAAATAAAAATTAAATTATCACCTGCTAAACAGTTTAATACTATACGTGTCAATTACCTTTAAAATAAAATATTAAAAATTTATTTGAGTATGTATTGAAATTTTATGATTACGGTTTCTAAACATTAAAGAATAATAATTGTCGCAGGTCATTATTTTTTGTTTCCGTTTTACTAAAGTAATTGGTTTTATTTTATTATTTAAAAATTATTTTTTTTTAGCAAACCATTACTGTTTCTGACTTTGATCTGTGCTCGTGACCGGTGTTTACCGAGTATCGTCGGCGCGCCCAATAAAAGCCCAATCACAACACCACCACCTCCACCACCAAACAGCAACAACAACAGGAGTCTTCTTTCTCTCTCTGTCTGTCTCATTACTTTCTCTTTCTCTCTCCTCTGTCTCCCTTAAAAAAAGGCGCTTCCTGTTCGTTCGTCTGTCGACTCTCTCTTTCTCCTCTCTCTAGCTCTACCCGTCATCACTTTTCTCTCTCCTCCCCTTATCTCCTTCTCTCTCTTCGAAGGTTTTGTTGATTTCACCGCCGAAAAGCTCTTGACGCCATTGAAACTCTTTCGCCTTCTTCTTTGCTCTGCTATAGCTTGATCGGAGATTCCCAGGTCTTACCACAAAAGGTTCACGGCTTGTGTTTTTTTTTTTTTGTTATGTTTTTTTCATAGTCTTGATCGGTTCAAAGTTAAAAAACTTTGGGAACATGTTTCTTTTTCTCGTTTTGGTCTGAATGAGAATGTGTGAACAGATTCACTAGTTTTGGCTTTAAGATCTAATCTTATGGCTGGATTATTTTTTATACTAATGCATAAAGAAAGCTTTTTTTTTTTTTTTTGGTTTTTCAGCTTCTGATTTCTTCTCTTTTTATTATTTTTAAATATTTTAAGGTGTCACATGGTTTAGCTTTAAAATGTAAGAGAAAATCTGTGTCGTCATTTTCCCATTGTTACTTACATTTCTGGGTGGATCTGCAGTCCTTTGGTCGCTTGTACACTTCTCTCACTCTCATGCAAACCCAATCTCTCTTGAAAGGTGTTCTTTTTCTCTTTGGGATATACATCTTTGCACTCATAAGATGGGCCTGTTTAGTACTCTTATCCTGTTAATGTTGTAGAGTTTTGAAGCTTTGGAACTTCTTGTGTTTGGTGTTTTGATGCTTCTACATGATGTTTGGATAGAATTTTATTGTGATTGAGCAAAATAAGCCAATGGCGTCTCGTTTTACGGTTGGAAAGCCATGTCATCAGTCTATATACATGCATATGTATATATCTATATATATGTGTGTGTGTGTGTGTGTGTGTGTGTGTGTTGAACTGCAAGTGAGAAGACTATTGCCCAATGCTGAAAACAGACTTATATGCAACTTAATCTATGGGGTTGTTAGGGATTCCATTTGCTTTGGGTTATTGCTTATATTGGTTAATTTATTTATTTTTTGTTTATTAATTTATTCATTATGAGCTTTTTGTGCAGCTTGTTATGAGAACAAAGTAGAAGCCCTGCTTGTCTATGAAGTTACTAAAATCATGGAGATGGATTTTGAAGAAAAAGAATGTTTTGTTTGATGTGGTATGATCCAAGATCATTTACATTTCACTGCAATGAGACTGAATGGATTTTAGAAATCTGCTTCTTTCGTCTTGTATTCTGCAGTTATTATTTTGTGTTATATTCAATCATTAGGAAGTGATGTTACAGGGAAAATGCGGATTCAAGATGAAGCAGCTGCCGTTCATGGGAATTGTGTGTACAGTAATGCTTTTCATTGTTTATAGAACCACTAATTATCAACATAGACAGACGGAGGTATGATATATTGACCCCAATATTCCATTGGAACATGTGTTTTCTCAATTAAGTGTCAAACACTATGCCATGAAACCCTGGTCATGACCTTCTAGTGATTAATTTGAAATTTGCACTAGTTCCCGGAACAACATTACCGAATTTGATTGGTCCAATTTTATAGCTCTATGATGGTCCTGAAAAACTTGAAATGAAACAAAAAAAAAAATCATTTTATTATTTTTGTTTCCTGGTGATTGGCCTGCTGATTTCTTTTCCTTCTCTCCTCAGATGGAAACAAAAATTCATCCCTTTGGCACAGTAAGTTTATGTATACCTTGTTCAGATTTGATTCTTTCCTTTTGTTTTGTTTGCACTATGAAGAAATATCTCAGTTGTTCTAATGGTTGCGCATAGGAATTTCTTCTGGCTTCAAGAGAGTTGAATGGTTTACCTCGTGGTATAATACACACCAAGTCAGATTTAGAGTTAAGACCTCTGTGGTCGACAAGTAGTTCACGGTCAAAGGTGAGATTGGGATTCTCTTGTGCTCTTACATCAGTTTGCTGGCTCCTTTTTGTATTGTCTCTTAATTTTCTAGTTGTGGGTTGACTTATGATTGCTAATTGCTAGATTTCAATAGAATCTTTTTATTATCGGTTTTTTGGGGTTGTGATGGGATTTTTACTTTTTGTGATGCGGCATTTGTGACCATCAAATGGCAGGTCAACGTCTATAGCCACCGTAACTTGCTGGCCATCCCAGTTGGCATTGAGCAAAAGGATAATGTTGACGCTATTGTGCAAAAGGTAATACATTTTTACTCCCTTAACCTTCAATTGCTATCGTATGGTGGTTTTTGCCTAATTTCATTAATTTCAGTTTCTTCCAGAGAATTTTACAATTATTCTATTTCATTATGATGGCAATGTGGATGGGTGGTGGGATCTTGATTGGAGTAATGAGGCCATACATATAGTTGCACAAAACCAAACAAAGTGGTAAGTTGCTTGTTATACGTGGGGATTTTTCCGTTCCTCGTCTATAATGTTGTTCATAATGAGAAATTGCATTGTCATTCTTCAATGGAATATGTGATCTAAATCTTCTTTGGAGTAAACTGGTAGGACCAAAATTTTTGCAAGACAAATAGGAAATGTGTTTGGTCATTCCATACATATCCACATCCTGCACGGCAGTTTCTATTATTGCTGTTAATTAATTTTGGTTCTTTCAGGTGGTTTGCAAAACGATTTTTACATCCTGATGTTGTCTCTATTTACGATTATGTATTCCTCTGGGATGAGGATTTGGGGGTTAAGAACTTTAACCCAGGAAGGTACTATTACTGGATTGTGGAAAATTCTTTGCTGGAAATATTTGTTTTATTCTTTTTAACAGGTGTTTATTCTCTCCCTAGATGATAATGTAATCAGAATTTTGTTTTCTTAGATACCTTAAAATTGTAAAAACGGAAGGACTGGAGATATCTCAGCCAGCGTTAGATCCTAATTCAACAGATATACACCATCGAATTACCATTCGTGCTAGAACAAAAAGGTTTCACAGGTGAATAGGCTAGTTTACAACGAACTGCCATTTATTTTTGTGTATAATAACATAAGACCATTTAACCCTTATAAATACCTTTTACTTTTAACAGAAGGGTTTATGACCTTAGAGGCAGTACTAAGTGTTCGGATGCAAGTGAGGGGCCACCATGCACCGGGTAAGTTATTTGCAGCTACACCTAACATAGAAATTTCTTTATGTGTTCTATTTTTCAATGGCCTTTTTTAAGATATCAAAAGTCTTTTTCCTACTGCAACAGTTTAGTAGCTGTAAGTTCACTGTTTCCTGTAGATCAGGGTTCAAAACGTGGTGTGCCATAGAAGGATAAATAAAAAACAAAAGAGTTTGTGTTTTAAGTAATTTTAGGAGCCTGAGAACAGCATTTGTTTCTTGTTCCTCTCCTTAATAACCTGTGCGAAGTAATGAAAAGTAATCAAGAGAGTATCTAAGTCCTGAAGTTTATATTAATATTTGAGAGTATCATTATTTCGGATGGGAGTTTGGTGGACTTAGTAGTCTATTTACTGGCTTTATAGATTTGTGGAAGGTATGGCCCCAGTATTTTCAAGAGCTGCTTGGCGCTGCACTTGGCATCTTATACAGGTAATTTATATCTAAGGCATCCCATGATACGCAAGCTTTTGCCAACATTATTGAGGAACTCATCGAGTAAATGTGACTTTTGCATACTGGCTTTGTTGCTAGAACTCATATGAACGTGCAAAGTACAATTTACCTTGTGTCCTTGCGTTGTCTTTATAAATTCATTTAGTGGCTCCTTTTTTCTTTCTCAGAACGACCTTGTTCACGGATGGGGAATGGACATGAAACTTGGCTATTGTGCACAGGTAAGATCTAGTTTCCTAGTTCTTGTGCAAGGTTGAGGAGCTTTTCGGGATTTCTTAACTGCACTAAAGAACTGTTTCATGAGATTTGAACCACTGCAGGCTACTGCTGTCATCTTGTTCATTTTTGTATAATTCTATTTTCTTTCTTCAGTGGTGATATATCCAGTCAATAAATATTTAGTTTATCTCAAGTTATTTTGCAGCTTGGAGAAGCTTGTTTTGATGAATTATTGGCTTTCATTAATGAGCTTATTAAGCTAATGTTCCTGGGTTTTCCGAATCCAGGTGATAGGAGTAAAATCTGCTTGTGTTTGGGCATTTTGCAACGTCTATTCAGATACCGATGAATTTGTTTTTCTTCTCCTAAAAGAAAATATGAATAGTAAGAGGCAATAGGCTGAAACTCAAAGTAAAGTAAATGTAGTCAGAGATGGTTTTAGCGGTTAGAATTAGGAAACTCCTTGTTGCATAAAGAACAAAGAGGAGAATGATAGACATATTTGAATTGAACTAGCAGCATGATTTATCCCTCCTGTCAGCGGCTGAAAATACCATTCTCGTGCCAAATATTGCAATTTACTCGAAAAAGTTGATTTTTTTTCCCTTCTCCCCTTTTTTCCCCTTGCAACAAAAGAAGCTTTAGATAGAAGCCTGTTAGTGATCGTCTTGCTTAATAAACTGCTCACACGAAGTTTCATAGCTGTGACTGCTTGGAGCTTCATAGCTATGACTGCTTCCTTTGCCTCCGTCTCGTTTTTTCATTTGTTTTGGGTCTGTTTAAAATACTTTCTTCAATAACAAATTGGCTAGAACCAAAACTAAATATGGCTTTATACAGGGTGATCGGACGAAGAAGGTAGGTGTCATTGATAGTGAGTACATTGTTCACAAGGGCATACAAAGTTTAGGAGGCGCGAGCTCGTCTGCAAGAAAGGTGAGTTGCTTTCCCTCTCACCATGCGGAACAAAGTAATAGACCTCTAGCTCGTGACTGTTGAGATTGCATGGCAGATTGCATAAATGACTTGTTAAACCAATGCCTCCCACAAGAATGAGATGTTATCATATATGATGGATGATAATCTTTTATTTATTTATTTATCTAATTTTTACAACTTCCATTCTTTTTGCCCCTTTACTAAAATCCATTCCGCTCCCTTTTTCGCAGGCCTCGAATTCCGAGGAGTTAACTAAGGTAAACAAACCACGGTGGAGATAATAGACCACTCATTTCATTTATCAAAAAGAGAAAAAAAGCCTGCCCTTTTCTTGTCTAAAAATATTTTTCCACAATAGTCATTGACTCATTCTAACAATACCATTTTGTTATTTTTCCTTGATGTTTACTCAGAGACATGGTGCTGCAGCTGACGTGCGAACGGAGGTGAGACCCGCAAATCTTCGTCCTCTACTAGATTAGAAATCTTCTTCCTTTACATTTTATTCTAGGCTCCAAAATGGCGGCTTCTAGAAAAAGTGAAAACCATATCTTCGGAAAACCGACCAACTCATTAGCATTGGATTCGTACTTTACAGATTAGGAGGCAATCAACGTGGGAGCTTCAAGTCTTCAAGGAGCGCTGGAATCGTGCAGTGGAAGAGGACAAGAACTGGGTAGATCCATTTCCGTTTAAAAGTATAAGAAGAGTCGGAAAACGAAAACACCATCACCAGTAAAGCTTATATCTTCGATCCGCTTACTTCCATATCATTCCCAGCAAGCTCCTCTAGTCTCCACTCCCAGTTTCCCCCTCACCATTTGTTGAATCACCCTTCATTATTTCATTTATTTCAATATTCATAAATTTTGCTCTTATAATATATATATATATAT